TCCATGGAGTCTCAGATTACTGAGTTTCAGCGGGAGATGCGTGAACAAATGAACTTTCCCACTCTTGAAGTTCGAGCTCATTATCCTTCTCCTCTTGATCCTCCGATGGAGTAGATTTGTTTCCTTGTTATGCTTTCTTGGTTTTCTAAAACTTGGATTGATTTTGATGTTTCTGGATTGTTTATTTTGGATCCTTAAATGTTTGAATTTGTTAAGAGTTATGATTTGGATGCTTAGATGATTGAACTTATTATATATATTTGGTTTGATTTTAACTTTATTATTTTGAGCTTAATGTTTCTTAATTTTTGCATCATATTAGTTCATTATGACCAATTATGCCATTTCACATTTGATCATGAATATTGATTATGAAACTAATAGCTAATCTCTCTTTTGATCTTTGATCTTAGTAGCTAAAGCTATATATATATATATATATATTTAATCAATTGGCTATGTTTTTCAAAACCTTGTTTAAATCGATTTTTAAGTCTTTTTGATTTAACAAAAAGGGGGAGAAGTGTTAACTGTTAAAATGTTTTAAATGGGATAAGTGTTAAAGTGAGGGGGAGTAATTTCAAACTTAATTTTTCAAAATTTATTTTCAAAGAAAATCTTAAAATTACACACATGTTTTGTTATATCAAAAAGGGGGAGATTGTTGAAAACATTTTGATGTTTCGATATAACAAATTAAGTTAAATGAATTTTAAGATTTTTTAAATTATTTTATAAGTATATTCGACTCAATTATTCGAATATTAAATCAATTACTCCAAGTCTTTTCAAGATCAAATTCAAACCTTACTAAATGTGTAAAATTGTGTTTTATACTTAATATATTTTTTAAAAAAAATTCACAAAGTATTTTGAACCAAAATCAAGCCTAAAATCAATTTTTCAGAGTGATGCACCGATGTACGAATCCATGCATCGATGCACCATGGAATAAATTGAACATCGAATGCATTTCATGCATCGATGCACCAGCTACGCATCGATGCACCAGCTATGCATCGATGCACTCTGGCTATTTTGAAACATCGAATGCATTTTATGCATCGTTGCACTCTTAGTGCACTGATGCACTAAGGGTCCAACGGTCAAAATATTTAAATTTTACACTTGATGCACCGATGCACCTTGGGTATGCATCGATGTACTGACTCTCCCAACTGATTTAATTAATTGTTTTCTCACTTAAACGGCTCTACTGACTCCACTAATCATCCCCAACGTTCAAAATCATTTGAAGGTGTATTTAAACAAGCTTAGAAGCCATTGATCAATAACAAGAAAGCACAAGAACAAGAATCAAGAGAGAATCAAAGAGAAAGCATCAAACCTCAAGTTTGAGCATTTCAAACCTATTTTTCATTCAATATTCATTTTGCTTTCAAGAACACTGCTTGTGCTCAATTGTATTCATTTTTTAGTGTTCCTTTCTTTTTTCTATAATTGTGCTAACAATCTACCTTGTGAAGATTTCCTTGTAAGTTTGCAAATTTGTAATCTTCTCTTTGAGAAAGATTATTCTCAAGAATTGGGGTATATTCTTGAGGGAGTTGTAAGGTTATCTCTTTGGCCTCAAAAGAAAGAACAAATTAGTGAATTTGTTGGAAAATCCTTAGTGTGGATAGCTAAGGTAGTGGACGTAGACTTTGGTTGAGAAAATCGAACCACTCTAAATTGATGTGCAAATCTTTTCAATTTTCTGCAAAAGCTTCCACCAAAATTTTAATTATCAATTCACCCCCTTCTTGGTCTATTCCATCGATCGATTAACTCAACAATTGGTATCAGAGCATTAATTATTTGACCAATATTTTTTACTAACTATTTCCTATTATTTGTTACGATTGTAAAAGGAAAGGCGAGATTAAATCTCGAGATATTTTATTGATACATTAACAATATTAAATTATTTTATTTAATTTACTATATATATATATATTTAGTATTAATTTATATTTTAGTTTGTATACTAAAATAGGGTCAGCCTACTACCTTACCTCCCCCTCACCCCATTACATATGGAAATATGGTCAGCTAATTTTATTATTTATTTAATTAGGCGTATTTCAGCAATTATTTTCGTAGATATAAGACTCTCAATCTTTCAAAATCTCAAAATGATGTGTATTTCAGCTATTATCTACTATAATGGACAAATTCGAGAAGATGAAACAGGCGTTGTCTTCGCATCAAATCATTATGTCAGAATATCCTTCAAGAGAAACATCACTCTTGAGGAGCTGATCACTAAAATTTTAAGGAAGGTTAATGTTGGAAGTACAAAAAGACTATTCTCACTATAGTACAAATTTACAACTGCAGTATTTCCGTTAACTTATACAACGTTTGAACTCTCCAACGATGACGATGTTGTTATGATGGTTGATTCTTATAATCAAAATTCAGACTCTAAAACATAAATGTATGCGATATTTGTTGAAGTGTCTGCGGTTCGTGGTATGTCATTATGCTCTCACTATGGACTGGCTCAACAAGCTAATCAAGTTGACAGCCCAACTCAAGTAATGTGCAATGATTTTAACTCGTTAATGGGAAATCCACATCCTGGTACGTATCATCCTATTAAGTTCAATGGGGAGACATTCATTAGTAACTTGTTATGATCTCTATCGATGTGGCTCTACGTACAATATGTATGGTAGCATCGCTTCCAGTTCAAGGGAAATGCATTCATTTGTCAACTTTTGACTTGAATATAGGGATGCCCTCGATAAGACAATCTGATCAGTACAAATTTGACATGATGCCTTCAAGTTTCAGGGGAGACATTAAACTGCGAGCTTCTTCGACCTCATATAGAGATGTATGTGACACAACACTCAGTTCAAAACTCGTATGACATGATGCCTTCATGTTCAAAGGAATATTCAAATACAAGCTTGTTCAACCTAAATAATGGCATCACAGAGGAACTCTTATCTCCACCAGAAGAACCTCTTCGTGAGCCAGGTGCAGATGGTGCTGAGACTGGACTATTCATTGAGCCAGAGTCATCACAGTTCAATATGAACTCCGATGATGATGATGTAGATGAAGTTCCCAAAAATATGATATAAATCGAACCTTCAACACACATGTATGAAGCTGTCTATGGTGCAATGTATGAGCGAAAATTTATAAATATGCCTAATATTGGTGAGTACGGATTTAATTCATCAGTCAATGATGGTGAGTTATATATCAGAATGGAGTTTTTGTCGAAAGAAAAAGTAATTATCGCAATTAAGAATTAAAAATTTGTAATTCTGTTCACTATAGAGTTGATCAATCCACCACTGAAAAGTATGTTTGCTATTGTGTCTAACGTGATAACATATGCAACTAGATGATCCATGTATCAAATAGGAAGAGAAAAAATAATATATGAGAACTAATTGATCCTCATACATGTTGTGCTAGATGGATCAACCAGAACCATCCCAACTTGAAATCTGACATTATCTACCAAGCTATCATTCTTATGGTCAAAGCAAGCTCCCATATATTTATTGCGGCACTGATTTCAGATATATAATCTTGATATAGGTACACCATCTCCTAAAGGAAAGCATTGAAGGAAAAGTATAATGACATACAAAACTTCACGGTAAGTGATATTTATCTTACAACGAGCTACCAAGTTCGTTTAGGGTAGTTCACATACTAAATCTTGGGATAAAAGTCAATTTCAAAACTTATCATGCATACCACAATGATCGAGTGCTTCGCAGTCAATGCCAATTCTACCAGTTTTTTTAGTTTTATCCATAGTGCATTAATGTTGTGAAATACTGCAAGCTCATGGTCCAAATTGATGGGACATTCTTGTATGAAAAATGCAAATAAGTTCTACTATTGGCAGTTATCTAATATGGTAATCTCAAAATTCTTCAAGTTGCTTTTGCCCTTGTTGAATGAGAAGATACAGATTCTTGGGTTTTTTTCCTAAAAAACTTACACTTACATGTTGTCACGGGGGAAAAATCTCTATCATTTCAGGTTGCGGAGCTAAGATCAAAGCAATAATGGATTATGTTTAAAATATTTTGATGTTTCGATATAATAAATTAAGTTAAATGAATTTTAAGATTTTACAAATGATTTTATAAGTATATTTGACTCAATTATTCGAATATCAAATCAATTTCTCCAAGTCTTTTCAAGATCAAATTCAAACCTTACTAAATGTGTAAAATTGTGTTTTATACTTAATATATTTTTAAAACAATTTTCACAAAGTATTTTGAACCAAAATCAAGCCTAAAATCAATTTTTCAGAGTGATGTACCGATGCACCAATCCATGCATCGATGCACCATGGAATAAATTGAACATCGAATGTATTTTATGCACCGATGCACATACTATGCATCGATGCATTCAGAGTTTTATGAAAACATCGAATGCATTTGATGCATCGATGCACCAGCTATGCATCGATGCACTTTGGCTATTTTGAAACATCGAATGCATTTTATGCATCGATGCACTCTTAGTGCACCGATGCACTAAGGGTCTAACGGTCAAAATATTTGAATTTTACACTTGATGCACCGATGCACCTTGGGTATGCATCGATGCACTGACGCTCCCAACTGATCTAATTAATTATTTTCACACTTAAACAACTCTATTGACTCCACTAATCATCCCCAACATTCAGAATCATTTGAAGGTGTATTTAAACAAGCTTAGAAGCCATTGATCATAACAGAAAAATAATAAACAAGACAAGAGAATCAAAGAGAAGCATCAAACCTCAAGTTTGAGCATTTCAAGCCTATTTTCATTCAATATTCTCTTTTCTTCAAGAACACTACTTGTACTCAATTGTATTCATTTTTTAGTTATTTTCTTGTTCTAGAATTGTGCAAATAATCTACCTTTTGAGGATTTCCTTGTAAGTTTGCAAATTTGTAATCTTCTCTTTGAGAAAGAGTGATCTCAAAAATTGGGGTATATTCTTGAGGGAGTTGTAAGGTTATATCTTTGGCCTCAAAAGAAAGAACAAATTAGTGAATTTGTTGGAAAATCCTTAGTGTAGATAGCTAAGGTTGTGGACGTAGACTTTGGTTGAGAAAGTCGAACCACTCTAAATTGATGTGCAAATCTTTTCAATTTTCTGCAAAAGCTTCCACCAAAATTTTAATTGCCAATTCACCCCCTCTTGGCCAATTCCATCGATCGATTAACTCAATAGATTATTTGAGTCCAATAAATCTGTATGACTAACCTTCCAACGGCTCATAGAAATTATGAAAACTGCGAAAACATCGACATCAATGACAATGAAAACTAGGTCAGACGTGTCTGAGTTTGTGGTGAAGCATTACCCTCCAAATAAACAATGTATGAAGTCTATGCTGGATCTACATGTATGGAACTATAATATCAGCTAGGATATATCATAAAACCCCACGACTGTACCATGTGAACTGAATGTGGTGGCATTTGAAATGGTGTAGACGATGGTTTATGTGATGGTTTTGGTGATGCATCTGAGTATGAACCGGAAACACCTGATCTTCATCCACAAGTCAAGGGACAATGATGCTATGATGGTGGACGTTTTTCTCGGCACTGATGAATTCTTTCACCTTGTGTTTCCTCAGAAAGTAGGAACGATTTCCCATTCGTATTGAACCACTGATAATAATCATCTAAAACCGAATAATGATCTACATAAATTAGTTCCTTACAGAGAATACGTCCATGTTGATCCTCCCAGATCATTACCCACTCGTTGTGCTTCATCAGCCAGTTGACTCATTTTTGCCCCGTCTATCAATGTTATACAATTTGTCGAGATTTCTATGTGCTTCAATAATAGATTGTACGAAACCAAATGGTGGAACATGTGATCAATAGAATGCCACTTGAAAATAGCATAACATATCATAGGGATCATCACAATCCATACATCTAATGGGTCACTCAAGTGAGGTGAGATGCAATGTCTCATTTATTCAGTTGCATAATGAGTCTATTTGCTGACTTGGACGGAAGGCACGAATCACCAAAAGCACCTTCCCTGGGTTTTCGTCCGAGCTGGCACCACGCGACAAATCGCGGAACACCATATGCTCCTTCGTGGTAAAGCTGACACACGACGGAAGACACGAATGGTGATTCGTGCCTTCTATTATTCACCTTAAATTATTTGATACTCCATTATTACCCAAGTTTTAAAGTTCGGTGACTCACACTCCCCTCCCCTATAAATACCCTCGAATATAAACATCAAATCGCATCAAAATTACTTTTACATCATTCCTTATATCAAGCTTTGTAGATTTTGTTATAGTTCTTAGAAAGTAAATTATTTTTATTATATTAGATTTATTTATATTTAATTATTTGACCAATTTTTATTAAATATTTCGTAGTATTTGTTTGCAGTTGTAAAATGAAAGGCGATATCAAATCTCAAGATATTTTGCTGATACATTAATAATATTAAATTACGTTATTTAATTTACTGTATTTTTTAAAATTTTTCAGAATTAATTTATATTTTAGTTTGTATACTATTTATTTAATTTGGCGTATTCCAACTATTGTTTTCACATATATAAGACTCTCAATCTTTTAAAATCTCAAAATGAGGCGTATTTCAGTTATAGTCTACTATAATGGACAAATTCGAGAATATGAAACCAGCGTTGTCTTCGCATCAAATCATTATGTCAGAATATCATTCAAGAGAAACACCATACTTGAGGAGTTCATCATTAAAATTTAATGGAAGATTCATGTTGGAAGTACTAAAAGATTATTCTTACTTTAGTACAAATTTACAACTGCAGTATATTTGTTAACTTATGCAACGTTTGAACTCTCCTTTGAAGATGATGTTGCTATGATGGTTGATTCTTATAATCAAAATTCAGACTCTGATACAGAAATGTATGTGACATTTGTTGAAGTGTTTGCGGTTCGTGGTATGTCAATATGCTCCCACTATAGATTGTCTCAACAAGGTGATCAAGTTGATAGCCCAACTCAAGTAATGTGTAATGATTTTAACTCGTTAATGGAAAATCCACATCCTAGTACGTATCATCCCATCAAGTTCAATGGGGAGAAATTCATCAGCAACTTCTTATGATCTCTATCGAGATGGCTCTACGAGCAATCCGTATGGTAACACTGCTTCTAGTTCAAGGGGAATGCATTCATCTGTCAATTTTTTTTACTTGAATATAGGGATGCCCTCGACACAACAATCTATTCAGTACCCATTTGACATGATGCCTTCAAGTTCCATGGGGGGACATTCAAATGCGAGCTTCTTAGACCTTAATGTAGAGATGTCTGCGACACAATACTCAGTTTAAAACTCGTATGACATGATGCCTTCAAGTTCAAAAGGAAGGCATTCAAATACAAGCTTGTTCAACCTAAATATCGACATTACAGAGGAACTCTCATCTCCACCAGAAGAACATCTTCGTGAGCCAGGTACATATGGTGCTGAGCCTGGACTATTTGTTGAGCCAAAATCACCGCAGTTCAACATAAACTCCGATGATGATGATACAGATGAAGTTCCCATAAATACGATACAAATCGAACCTTCAACACACATGTATGAAGATGACTATGGTGTAATGTATGGGTCAGAATTTATGGATATGTCTAATGTTAGTGAGTACGGATTTAACTCATTAGTCAATGATGGCGAGTGATATATCGGAATAGAGTTTCCATAGAAAGAAGAAGTGATGATTACAATTAAGAATTAAAACATTTGTAATTTTGTTCACTACAAAGTCGATCGATCCACCACCGAAAAGTATGTATACTATTGTGTCTAACATGATAACGGATGTAACTAGATAGTTCATGTATCAAAGAAGAAAAGAAAAAAATAATATATGTGAACTAATATGTCCTCATACATGTTGTGCTAGACGGATCAACCAAGACCATCCCAACTTTGACTCGACATTATCTACCAAGTCATCATGCCCATGGTCAAAGCAAGCTCTCATATTGTTATTGTGGTACTAATTTCAGCTATACAGTCTTGATATATGAACATCGTCTCCTACAGGAAAACATGCAAGGAAAAGTAGAATGCCATAAAAAACTTCACAGTGAGTGAGATTTATCTTAAAATGAAATATGAAGTTCGTTTAGGGTAGTACACAGACTGAATCTTGGGATAATAGTCAACTTTGAAACTTATCATGCATACCGCAATGACCGAGTTCTTAGCGGTAGATGTCAATTCTACCAGCTTTTTTAGACTTACCAGCAGTGCATTAATGTTGTGAAATATTGCAAGTTTATGGTCCAAATTGATGGGACACTCTTGTGTGGAAAATATAAGCAAGTTATACTATTGACAGTTATCTAAGATGGTAATCTCAAAATTTTTCAAATTGTGTTTACCATTGTTAAATGAGAAGATACAGATTTTTGGGTTTTTTCATCAAAAACTTATGCTTACATGTTGTATCGAGGTAAATTTTGTGTCATTTCAGACCGCGGAGCTGGGATCAAAGAAACAATGGATTCTTTGAGTCCAATAAAGGTGTATGACTAACCATCCAACGACTCATAGAAAATCGTCAAAACTATGAAAACATCGACATCAATGACTGTGAAATTGGGTCGGATGTGTCTGAGTTTGTGGTGAAGTATTACCCGCCAGATAAACAACATATGAAGTCCATGTTGGATCTACATGTATGGAACTATAATATCAGTCATGATATGTCATAAAACCCTACAGCGATGCCATATGAACTAACTGTGGTGGCATCTGAAATGGTTGCGATAGCGTTTGACCCGACTGTATTGGCATCCGAAACAACTATGGAATATAAACTAGTGTAGACGATGGTTTATGTGATGGTTTTGGTGTTGCATCTGAGCATGAACCGGAAGCATTTGCTCTTCATTCACAAGTCAAGGGACGATGATGCTATGAAGGTGGATGTTTTTCTCAATGCTGATGAATACTCTCGCCTTGTGTTTCCTCCAAAAGTAGGAACAATTTCCTATTCTTATTGAACCATTGATAATAGTCATCCAAAATCGAATAATGATCCATATAATTCAATTCTTTACAGGGAATACTTTCACGTCGATCCTCCTAGATCTTTACCCACTCACTGTGTTTCATCACCCATTTTACTCCTTTTTTGCCCCGTCTATTAATGCTATGCAATTTGTCAAGATTCCTATGTGCTTCAATAATAGATTGTACGAAACCAAATTGGTGAAACACACAATCAGTGGAATGCCACTCGACAATAACATAATATATCATAGGGACCACCACAATCCATACATCTAATGTGCCACTCAAGTGAAGTGAGATGCAATGTCTCATTTATTCAGTTGCATAATGAGTCCATTGAAACTAAACAATTATACATAATTCTTATCAAAATAATATTTTAATTATATAACGACAATTAAAGGTAAGTGATAAAATTTAAAGACATACCCATGTACCATCCTTTTGATCAATAAGTAGTCTAATCTTCCAATTCGTCTGGTATATCACGATGATCTTTCCTTATACATGATCACCTATTAAGTGTAAAAAAATCTATTATATACTCAAAAAATATTTATATACGAACTCAGTATTGAAATTACCTCAACGATAACGGGAAGACTAACGAGTTTTTCACGATCGGACATAAAAAGGGCATCTGATACTACCCTCGTGACTGCAGAAGAATGAGACATCTGCCAATATCATTTTTCTAATAATCAGTTGCTCAACACATTTCTCTATATAAATATTTCAAAATCGTAAAGCCCTAACTGAATGAGCTGACAACTCGAAAATCTATTAGGTGACACACTTGGTTGCGATTTTTTCGGGTATCAAAATCCTTCATATGAGTCGTAATATGCAAGCCCGAGCAAATATTTTAGTTTGTTCCTTGGAACAGTTGTCGCTCAACTGTCAAAAATTTGTGGTCAACCATGATAATTATATTCGACCACCGTTGAAATTAGGCGGGATACCTCCAAGATACTCCTCGCACAA